CCAAAACTCGCGTTTGAATCATCAGTGGCAAATCCTTTAAATGAAAACGTACTTACAGTCTGTGAGTCAGAGCAGCCGTCATTGTAGTCTACTCTCCCAGGATCAGGAAACAGTCCTCCATAAAATGTGCTGCACACATCTGAATATTTGGGTTGAAGTGTTCTGGAACAGTGTTGTAAATACAACTTAAGCACTGATTTCTAGCCGTGTCTTTCCAAAAGAGCCGGCAGCTTGAGTGAGCGAAGACCGGGCTAGAGTGAGTGGAGACGGGTGGGCTTGAGAACGGCGCGGCCGGCGGATTCGACAAAGGAGCGTCCAGAGGGCTTGCGGCAACCACATGTGACGACCCCGGGCTGGACTCCGCTTCATCCATGGTGAAAGCCGATCCAGAGATCTTCTTTATGCACCAAGAGCTTGTAACACTCCAAAGAGAAAGGAAAAATTGAAATCGCATCATATGACCCCTTTAAGATAATTTATTAGTAAATGTTGAAATTCACATCAACACAGATTAAATATTATTGTTAACTAATGTTAACAAATGAAAACATATTGTAAAGTGTTACCAAAATCTGCTTAGTGTTAACAGCAAACCCCAGATTTAACCTAGACAGTTGAAACATTTATTATAAAGGTCACATCTCTTGAATTCACTCAGAACCATACAAACTACACAAAGAAAAGGAAAAATTAAAGCAAAGAAATTTCCATGTTACTGATTCAGTAGGTTAAGACAATAAATTCAGCAGCTGTGAATATTGCATTTACACAGGGAATAAGTCAGTGAGTCACTGTCAAGTTTAAACATTTTACAGAGCAAATTTCACGGCACATATCACAAAACTTGTCCTCAGTGAACGTGGCCAACTTCTAAACTGTGCTAGTACACTCCAGGAACTAGCTCAACAAGGACATCTTAAGGAGCTTCAATTCATTTAATTAAGCAGAGGCCTGCACATTTAAAAAAGAAAGTAATAACAATTGCATATTCTCCAAATTGTGTTAAAGATTTTACATCGCAAATCTTAAAAACATAA